TGACTACCCAAGACACACACCAGAATGGGGACCCCAACTTTGGTTCCCATGTTTTGTCAGTACCTCCCCAAAGCTGATGCAAAGCAAGCTGCCTAGACTAAATATAAAGGAAGCAAAGTTTTGATGGAAACCTGAGCAATGAGAATAGGTTCTAGGTGGATAAACTAAGTCAAAAAACTCTAGCTTTTCCCTTGAAGACTGCAGTAAAATTGAATTAGTAATGTTTATTGAGTGTGTCATAGCTGTAATGATAAACCACATGGAAAACTCCGTGAAGGAATCATTAGTTTTGTTGCCGGAGAAGAATATAGCGTGCAATAAATAAAGCAGGCTGCCACACCTTGAACCACAAGGAAAAAACAAAATACAGTTTCATCATTCAGTGAGCGCCATCCATCAAGTGTTATGAATGAGGCACAGGAAAAAATATTGTGTGATCATCTAATTAAAGGCAATATCGTAATTCATGCTCACAAGGGGCCAAATTAAGGTCGAACAGACGGCCTTAATTCTGACATTACCTCACTCTTGAATGCCTGACTTCGCAATCTTAATCTCTGGACTTAGTATAGAACACAAAAAAAGGGGAGATTTTTTTGTAAGGCTGGTTAGAAAGTCTAGACACAGGGTTGCCATGAATTTCAGTATGACTGCATCCCCTGTTTGGCTTTAGGAAGCTCATCCTCGCTTTCTGCATGCATTTAGCTACCCCGAAACACGTATGCACAGTTCCCATACCGCTCTGTTACAAAGAGGTTGCCATAATTTGCAAACTTTTGCCACAATTTCAAAATTAAATTATTTCTGTCTGTGATTTAGCTTGTGTGTGATAAAACCATAGTTTGCTGTCTCTCTATAGCAACCGTTGCCTTATTTTAAAGGGAAATGACAAATATTTTCCCTAATTTTTAGTTGATTCTTTGCTTCTCTGCCTGCATTAGTAATATTAGCTGAATTGCCACCAGTGCACGTCAAAGCCACTTGGACACTGGGAGGAGACTGAAAAATGGCTAACTGTTCGCAGGCTCCCACGGGGAAGTTTGTAATGACGGAGTGTGAGGCTTACACTTGGTTTATTTTTCCCATTGGATTTGCTATTCAAAGGCTACTGCAAATCCTGACGATTTCTTCTTCACCCTTTATTTTCTATAGGGATTGGTCAGTCTGCAGGACTCTGATACACACTTTGGTAGCCTTTGAAGACTCAGATACTGTTAGACTGAAGACTGGAAGGATTTATAAGCTAAAACTTAAGTTATAGTCCTGAAGAGACCATCAACCTGGCGTTAGCATCACTGAGGTAGGTTTGGTGTTCCTGCCCTGCGTGTAAAGCAGTAAGCAGTAGGAGATGTTCAGGTGAGGTCAACTCTAAATGTAGCCGTGGAGAAGTTATGCTACTAAACCTGGCTTTTAATGCTCCTGCGTTTCATGTGAACAGGGGCAAATGCTGGGGACAGGTATTTTCCATCTGCAGCAGTGAAAGAAAGCTCCTAATGAAAGCATAATGCATGCTGATGGAAGAGGACATAGAATTGTTTGGGTTGGAAGGGACCTCAAAGATCATCTAGTTCCAACCCCCCTGCCATGGGCAGGGACACCCTCCACTACACCAGGTTGCCCAAAGCCTCATCCAACCTGGCCTTGAACACTTCCAGGGATGAGGCAGACACAGCTCCTCTCAGCAACCTGTTCCAGTGCCTCACCACCCTCAGAGTGAAAAATTTCTTCCTTATATCC